TTTTCTTTGACATATTGACTTTTATTGACTATTTTGTCGTGACACTTATGAATTTTTAGCATAATACATTCTCGTAGTGTTCCTCAATATGAACGCGTGGGCAAAAGCGGAAAGAACATGTCAATGGGAGTGTTAAAAACACATGTCACAAGGATAGGAATACACGAGTCCTTGGAGTTCGCTGACAATGATAGAGTTTCTGTAAAGGGGCCATGAACCTTATAAGAAGGGAGCGAGACCAAGCCAAGCCACTAGGAGAGGAAAAGATGGAAAATAAGAGGTTATGAGAACTGGTGAAGAAATCTCCAAGCCGAGGACACAGCCCATTGATGACACTAGGACAGTTGGATACAATATAGTGTTCTTCTGTGAAGTGTACGGTGTCTCGTGCCAAGTGAGAGTTGATTCCATAACCTCTGCTAATCTCCGAGCTACCTTTCCTTCGGCATAACAAGAGTGAATCCTCCCACCTCCCTCTAACGCTTATCTCTTTGCACTACTTAATCTCAATGATTTTTGGGTCCCTCAGATATAAGTCCATGCAACACTTATTTCCTTGACAAAAACCCATCTCATTTTAAACATCCAAATAAAACCCAAATTTGAAGTAGATTGCCATGTAAACAATTAAATACCTATTATTTTCAAACTATTTACAATTGTGCCACAACACTCTAATTATGTAATGAATTTAATTATCCACCATAATTGTGGGAAATAAGTGCCTTATTATTATAAAATTATCTACTTTATACTTCTCTTACCATCATATGTTTCATTTCGTTTATTTGTTTGACAATCATTGCAGGTAAATTATTTTGCATGTATGTATTAGGCACTTTGTTAAAATTATATATATGCGTGCAAATAATTTATCTATATTTTTATGTAAAATAATATGTAATTAATTAATTTTGAATCAATTGGCTAAAAACATTTATTTATTTTGTGGGTAAATTATTTTTCATGTGATAATACATATATACTAGCCACATTTTGTTATTATTATATAGAGTGTGCAATCAATCTACATTCTTTTATTTTGTAGGTAAATTATTTTGCATGTAGGTAAATTGTTATATATATTTGAAAAATATTGGTATTTAATTAATTTTGAATAAAAAAATATTTATTTATTTTGTAGGTAAATTATTTTGCATGTATCATTACATAATTTACTAGGAACTTATATTGTTATTATATATATGTTGTGCAAAATAATTTACCTATTTTATATTTAAAATATTGATAATTTTGAATAAAATAACTTTTTGATATTTGTAGGATACACTAATTTACTTGTTAGCATCATGTGAAAACAAATATATAAGGAACATTGGTATCATGTAAATTTTTGTTATTAAATGCATATGAATCATGACATTTAAATTTTTTTCCAAATCCCCATAAGGTATTTGAAGACATTTAACTGAATGAAATAATGTAAAATAAAATGTAGATAATAAGTGAGAGACCCAAAGTAAGTGTTATTAAGGGTAATTTAGACATCAACAAATATAAATTTTGCCAAGTCAAACTTAATTATGGATATTACTTAGTTAGAGCCTAGTCATTGGGTTTTTGTTAAAGAAACTTACCATGATGGGTTTTAGTTAAAGAAAATTGAATTCTAAGGGGTGTACTCATATTTTTAGTTATTTTAAGTTGCAAAACTTATGTTATGACAGCTTGACATGAGTAATTCATGGGTTACTATCCAATAAGTGAGTCGTGATTGTTCAAAGAGTAATGCTAGGGAGATTAAATTTGTAAACTAAATGATGTGTCACCAGTAGGAATAAGCACGTTTATCAACGCTTACGTAATAAACCAATTATTAACTTCCATGTCTTTTAGTTTCTAAAATTTAATCTACAAATTTAGTCTCCCTAGCATTACTCTTGCTCAAATATAATCCATAAGATAAACTGTATTGGTTTATGGAATGAATGAATGTTGAATTCATTAAATTCTGAAAAATAACATCATACAGGTTAGGCTTGAATGTCTGTAATTTTAGAGTGCATGTGCCATCAACTGCAATTGATTTTCTGGAGTTTGAGATTTGAACTAATTCTCATAGATGTGAGGATGCTAGTAACGTGAAACTCAATGTTGTTGAATATTTCAAGAATATATATATTTATTATTTGTATATGTATATGCGTGCATTTTGTATTGGGAGAGAATAGAGTTGGGTTATTGCGCAACAATCATCTCTTCAATTTTTTTTATTTTTTTTTTTGAGAAAATGTACAATATTCATTAACGATAGAAATATGTACAATCAATGAGGACAAGGTGCAAACAATGGGCCTCAATAAAACCTTGTCGGGAATTTCAACCTAATCGAAAGGAAAAAGAGAGTGTTCCGCACCAAACAAATTAGGAATTACTATCCTTAAAGAGAAGATTCACAATTACATCAGGAGGTTCTTCAAGCCAAAGAATAGGATTATCACAACTCAAACTCATTTGTGCTAATCTGTGCGCCACTCTATTCGTCTCCCTACCGTTAAAACCAACTTTCCATTGGGGCAATGCTTGAATCATCGAGCGAGTATCATTTAGAATATTTCCGAACGATGAGAGATCATGTTGACCATCATGTTGAAGAGCTACCATAACAAGTAAAGCATCCCTTTTGAAAACCAAGGCATGTAGTTGCTTCTCCTTGACCAACCAAGCAGCATCCCTAGTTGCGATAGTCTCAACCAGCAGAGGGGAAGGATTAGCATCATGCCTCTTTGCCAAGGCTGCCACAAAATCACCCCTATCATTCCAAATCACCACCCCAATGCCACCAATACTTCTATTTTCATCCCAAGCCGCATCAAAATTACACTAGTACCATCCTTCTCCTGGCTTCGTCCATTATTGAGAAACTTTACAACTGCGTTTTTCATTTTTCCCATTCCAATGTTGGAATTCTTTCCATATACTCCAAAGAAGAGTAAGGAATAAATTAAAACTATCGCTTCAAATTGAAAAGACATGATTTATTGTCAACAAGTGTATTCCTTCTCTTGGAATTAGATCCTATCTGGATCTTCTCATTGGGGATCCCGGGGATCAATTAATAACAACCGTTCATCAAAGATCGTACGGTCCCAATTTTTTTTAAAATATTTGTCTCTAAGTACCTGGAATTGGGTAAAATTGGTTCTATGTCGTTGACAAACTTATCTGCACAAACAAAACAAAACACCCAAATTTCAGTTTTGTAATACAAATTAACTCAGTTCATAGAAATTTGGTTATGATCAAATTAAGCAATTTCAATGTAACAGTAACTATTTCAGCTAGAAGATTTAAAGACTCCAATTCTCTTTGCATAAGCAGATACTTAGTAAACTTAGAACAATTCTTGTGTGTTTTTCCAGAAATTGAAAGATAGAAGGTAAAAACTAGATTCTACGCATCCGCCCCAACCCCACCACCACCAACACCCCCCCACCCCCCCCCCCCCCCGGGGCGGGAAGATGAAGGTGGATCAACAAGGGGGGCATGTGATGCAAACACCAACGGGTGAGAAGCTTCCACAAAAGTTGAAGTAAAATATTTAACCTTTTAAAAGCACATCAGCTGTGGTTGAGACCCCATTGAAAGCTCTGGCAGATTGATAATTGTTCAGAGAAACACATCTTTGGAAGCTTGAGACCGCCTTTGAGACCTTATCCTCTGTGACCCTTGAGTTTTCAGCAAAAACCTCACATTGTTTTGGGTTAAAAATATTTGTGGAATCTGATTGTGTCTTGATGGTGTGAGCAGGAGATTCTTGGCAGGAAGTGCTTATGAGCCACTTCTCAGCATCATCCCACTTTGAAGGAAAGCTCTTTCTCGAAAAGTTGCCAACTGAGAAGCTGAAAACTGGCCTTCCAGGAGTAGGAGGAGCTTCTACTGCTCTCCTCTGTGTCACAGAGCTCACTCCTCCCTCCCTCCGCTGTGCTGACGTGACATTTCTTGGGACCGGGAGTGACTTGACAAAATCAGAGGTTTCCTTGAGGTTGAGCTTGCAGAGAGGATCTGGAAATGTGTCAGCAAATGGGTTGTTACTGGTTTTTCCATAGAAGCTTCGGTTGCTCTCCAATGGCGTTTCCTGAATCACAAACACCAAAAACAACAGGAAAAAAAAAAAAGGAAAACAAGGAAGAGTAATTAAAACTCATATGGGCAAATGTAAAAACAAAATGAAGGTAAAAGGAAAAAACCAAATGTGGATATTTACCCCACTGGATGAGATAAAAGATGGAGGTTGAAAGCATCTGGGGCTTGTGAGATCCATGGAGAGAGAGAGAGAGGCTTTGTGGATGTGGATGGGATGCTTCTCTTTGTGGAGTCAATACTTTTTGGTATCTTGAACAAGAGCTGTGTCTATCTCCTCCACCATTTGGGTAAATTATAAAACACTTTTTCATAAGAAAATGACTCAGTGAACAGCAAATTTGAAGCAGAGTAGAAAAGCATTGACTGCTCCCAAGTTGCAAAATTTTTTTTGGGACTATGAATGAAGTTGAGGTTTTATCATAAAATTAATTGGCAATATGATGAGTAGTTTAATCTCTTATAAGCTCTTACAAGATCATTCCTCCTATCAATGTGAGACTTATTCTCAACACGCTCCCTTATGTGTGGCGAATTTTCAAGCCTAACACATGGATAGTACAATGGGAGGACGTGGAGCACATGTAACCGTTTGGCTTCACACGTAGGACAACCTGCTCTGATACCTTCTTAACAAATTGGGGTATCCCAGTTGAGATTGAGGGAGGGAATTAAGGTCATCTCCAACTGATTTGGCTCGTTTTAGACATTTGACCCTCCAAAATATTAATATTTTAATAAACAGTACGGGGCCATATTTGTCTCTATCTCTAACCGAGATAGGAATCATTTACGAGTTCTATCAACTTCTAACATCACTACATCAGAAATGCAAGCCTCCAACAACCCTTTGTTAATAATGGAAATTCCACATTGCACTTCTTATATGTTTAATGCAATTGTAAGAATAGTGCAGTAATCGTTCAGTGCTAAAAGGTTCTGAGAAACGATGAACATGTACTTGAAAATTATAAGAATTTAGGGGAGCAATCCATAAGGTAGATTATATGGTTCATGCCAACACAAATGAATTGTAGCATAACATCTGGGTATATGGCAGCAGCACCACCCTCATAAAACCAATCAATCTCCTTCTTTCTTAAAAGAAAAATCCCTCTAAGAACAATTCCGGTAACCTATACAAGCATGACAGAATAGTCAAAAGTTGAATCATATAGTAGAGAATTAAAAAGTGCAGATGACCTGTATCAAGAGAATCGGAATCCCAACAAAAGAAATGTAAATCAACAAAACTATGCACCTTGTCAGGGTGCGATTGGCTATATACAAGGGCAAGTGTGCTCCCCCATGACCCACCAAAAACCTGGATGAAATAACCAAAATCCTATGAATTTAGAATCGGAAATATGAAAGAAGCATGCTTTTTCTTTATCGAAAGCTATAAACAACCTACTGACCTGCCATTCTGGAATTTCTAAGTGTTCCCTGAGCTTTTCAATGTCACTAATGAGATCCCATGTCGTGTTTTCAACCAAGCAAGCATGTGGGGTACTTTGCCCCGCACCCCTCTAGTAATAACGAAATAATTTCAGATATCAAATGTAGGACGAACTAAAATGCATCTAATAACTAATCATAAAGGTTGGATTAGCAACCTGATCAAATAGAATGATCCGGTAAAACTCAGGATCGAAGAATCTTCGATTACTTGGTGAAGTTCCTCCTCCTGGACCTCCATGAAGAAAAACTACAGGCTGCAGGATAATTCACAAGATTTTAAACCAAAGACCAGTAACCCAACCCAACACGGTTAATATGGTATTTTCGACACAAAGCCGCCTTCTCCAGCAGAGTTCATTTCCAAATCCTAATACTTTCCGAGGATTCAAAAATCCCCGTTTTCTAAAAATACAGAATTTGAAATCTCAGATAACTGAAGAATCAGACTCTAGTGAACAAAACTGAAAAGCTTCAAATTTGTATCCGAAAAAAACTACAAATTCGAACAACAATCTCAAATCTACGTCGTTTATTTGGACGAAGAATCGCAACTCACATGGCCGTCGGGATTTCCAGACTGCTCCCAATAGATTGTGTGAATATCGGAAACCTTAAGAAACCCGGAATTGTAGGGCTCGATATTCGGATACAGGTTCCTGCTATACCCAAACCTACCTTACACTATACTATTAGTAAGGATGCGTAGTAGCGTTCAAAGATCACTCTTTGGCCTTTAGACTCGCTTCAGCGACTTCGCCCTTTAAGTGACAAGGGGGGGGGTGAGGTAAGGAGTAGTATAAGAGTGGCTCGGTCATCAACAGGCCTCTCCTTATTCATTCTACTTATTCATTCTATAGGGCGGGGCTGCGGACCAACAATTCAGCAAAAGGGCTTAAAAGCTCCTTTATCAAACCTTCCCCTTTGAATAATAATAAGGTAAGCTTGGGTTCCAAACTATATGCGGTCTCGCCATTCTTTGTTTGCATTCAAAGGTCTTGTGCCTGCGCTATCGAGTCACGTGCCTAACTTCCAAAGAATGAATCATATGGTAGAGGAGCTAAAGTGGCCGGCGGCGGTGTAGAGCTATAAGGAGCGAAGCTCACACACACCGGCTGATGGAGGGCGGGATCGCATTCACTTGCTTGCGGCCCGGCTCCATAATAGTGGAAAGCGGGCGCGCCCCCATAACCACACGGGAGGGTAACGAGATTCAACGGGATGGTCACGCTTTTCGAGAACGGTTTTTCCCTCATAAAGCAGGTTCCGTGAGTCAAAAGACCCTAAACAAGGCAAGCCGAAAAGATTCTTTTTCTCTTCCGCACATCGATGTTCTGGTGGACAACACCGCTGGACATGGGATGCTGTCCTTTATGGATGCTTTCTCTTGATATAACCAGATCAAGATGGCCGAGGAAGACAGAGCGTTTATCACCATATCGGATAGGGGGGCACGTTCTGTTACAAGGTGATGCCGTTTGGTCTAAAGAATGCCGGGGCGACGTACCAGCGAGCCATGACTGCGCTGTTTCATGATATGATTCACAAGGAAATGGAGGTCTATCTATGTCGATGACACGATCGCCAAGTCTTGGGCTTAAGAAGACCGTGAATTTGAAGAAAGTGTTTGACAGATTGCGGAAATACAGTCTTCGTCTTCATCCGAAAAAGAAAGCCGGGAGGGGTTTTGGTGCTTTGTCAGGTAAGCTACTCGGGTTCATTGTCAGCAGAAGATAAATCGAAGTCGACCTGCAAAAGGCAAAGAAATTATCGACATGCCGGTACCAAAGACAGAGAAAGAAATCTGGGCTTTTTTGGGCAGGCTACAATACATCAGCAGGTTCATTGCCCAGCCCACACCCATCTGTGAGCCGATCTTTAAACTGCTCAGAAAGAATACCCCGCCTTTCAGAAAAGATAGACACAAGGAACGAGGATTGCCAAAAGGCGTTTGACAAAGTTAAGAAATATCTACTCAATCCTCCCATCCAGGTACCGCCAACGCCTGGTCGACCTCTCCTGATGTATCTGTAAGTAATGGAAGCATCCATGAGTTGTGTCCTTGATCAGCGCGATGAAACGGGTAGGAAGGAAAGAGCCATATACTATCTCAGCAAGAAGTTCACTGATTATGAGACAAGGTATACGGTTCTAGAAAAGACCTGTTGTGCTCTTACACGGGCCTCGCAAGGCCTACGCCACTACATGTTGAACTATACGACCATGCTGCAAGGATGGGCCCGCTGAAGTATCTCTTTGAAAAGCCAGCCCTCACGGGCCGTACAGCAAGGTGGCGGATGTTACTCTCAGAGTTCGATATTGTGTACGTCACCCAGAAGCCCTAAATGAGAAAGGCAAGGGGCAGGCAATAGCAGACCACCTGCGGATCATCCCATCCCGTGCCTGACTATGAGCTTGATTTTT